GGGGGGGGGGGACATATTTATGTATAAAATACATCAACAAGTGCATTTTGCATGATAGGTCCCCTTTAATACTCTTGTGTTGCTTAGATTTTATGTACTTGAATGTTGAGCTGGGCAAGATATTGATAACATCACAAGGATTCAAAACACATCCTGAATTAGCCAAGACAAGTTTTAGATCTACATATATATATATAAAAAACGAACATATATTATGTTGGTCTAAAACAAAAGCTAGATAATGCTAACATTAGCTTATCATAGCTAACATTAGCTGCATTTTCAAACAAACATAAACCAGACAATTGATATAAGTTTGCATTAAGTTAAGAGTCTAGTCAACCTTTTTATAAACAAGCACCTTCTGTCTTTACCTCAGTGCCATATCGATATCTTTACGACACACAACATGGTGAACTCACGGGAAAAACCGCTTTGGTCCACGGGCGCAAACACAAAGATAGTTGCTTTAATAAATCATCATAAGACGTTGAAACATTGAACACTCAAAGCAGCTTTATTTATGCACACAAATACTCTGCACCATGTGCCTCATTAAAAGCAGAATATGCATTTGATAAATGTCATCCCTTTAATATATTTTACAGTCCTATTTTGATATTCATCAGTCGATACATATTTTAATAACGCCATTGTTTGACCATATTTCTCGAATTCAGTAAACATTCAATATTTTATATAAAACGACAGAGTAATAAAAGGTATATGGGAAATAGAAAATGTTCACATGGTTTTCTAGTTTTCAGCAGACGTGTAATCTGCGCGCACAGATCTAGAGTATGGTGAAAGGCTTTTTCTTATTCACTAACACAACAGGAGCATGGTGACCAAGTTGTCAGTGCCGTCCTGTGGTTTTATGATTGTACACAAAGCACTTAAGTTACTTCACACCGTAAGAGCATCAGTTTTCTTCAAAACACATTCAAGTCCAGTCCAGAGAGAGCTTTGTTTCTGACGCAGCGAAGTGTCTGCGTGGAGTCGGCTCTGCTTCAAATTTGAGCGCCTATGTGTGTGCTGGTTTCCAAAGGTCCAACAGTGATCAGTCAAAGTTCAGTCTGTGTGTGTGATCATGTGTGTGTGTCCTCAGCCCTCAGAACTGACTCTCTGCAGTGTTGACTGGAGGTCGTCTCTGGCGTTTCCGCATGACTCCAGAACATTGTTGTTTCTGCGAATGAGAACATATATTATAAACACACACACACACATCATCATCTTATTATTATTATTATTAAAGAGGCCCTAATCGGCTAATTTCCAGGTTCATATTTGTGTTGTGTGTCTCTGTGACATGTCTCCATGCTTTAATGTTCAAAAAGCTCTTCATTTCTCTCATGCCTGTACTGCAGCACCTCTTTTCACCCTCTGTCTGAAACCAGAGCCCAGTCTGCTCTGATTGGTTAGCTGGCCGGCTCTGTTGTGATTAGTCAACCGCTTAGAGATGTACAATGTGTTGGAGCGCTAGCCAATAGTAGTGTAAGTGTTACATGGTGATGTCACTATGTGTTCCTAATGTAGAGACTGATCCGCTATCTCTCATACCTGTGCAACTTCAAGGAGTATTGAGGCAGGGGTGAATATCTAAATAATTATTACTCTCAAGATAAATCACCATTGACCCTTTGCCGAAACTGAAAGTATGAACCCATTGAAAACACATTAATGAGCAATCACCAGAGAGTGTCCACCACCGCATTTGAGCACACCAAGTGCATTAGACATTCATCATGTGCTTCTTTTTCCTGAAGCTAGGACGGTGGACGGGGTATTTTGTACCTGGGAGCTGCCTGCTGATTGGCTCATTCTGTCACGCCCTTACCGGGACAAGAAGGCCTCCAGCACTGCCACGTTCTCCTTGGGGAAGTAGTCCTGCCGAACCACGTGCTCTAAAGTGTGGAGGTGACCGGGAACCACGACCACCGGCTTCACCTTGTCCTCACTCTGGGCGCAGGACAGAGGGGAGAGGAGGGTTACAAACATGGGAGTCAATTACTATTATGAATATTCATTTGTTTTTATTTTCAACTTTTTGGTCAAATAATTCTAAATACTTTTTTTTTTTTTATATTGATGGTTAAACAAAAGAAAAGTTGTGATGAATAATTTTGACTGTGTCTATGTATGTATTCGTGTACAAATGTATGGATGTATAAAAACCCATAATAATAATATTATGTATTTATTAATTCATTGTACAAACAGTCAAAAACATGGATTTAAAAAAAGGAGAAACAAATTAAAAACTACTCTAGTTATTTTTTTCGTGAATCAAAGAAAAAAAGAACTACAGTAGTTGTAATTTGTTTCTCCTTTCTATCCCCACGATCCAAGCTCCGAACCTGGGGGGACAGAGCCTTCTCCATCGCTGCCCCCTCCCTCTGCCTTCTCCATCGCTGCCCCTACCCTCTGCCCCCTCCCTCTGCCTTCTCCATCGCTGTCCCCACCCTCTGCCTTCTCCATCGCTGCCCCCACCCTCTGCCTTCTCCATCGCTGCCCCCACCCTCTGCCTTCTCCATCGCTGCCCCCTCCCTCTGCCTTCTCCATCGCTGCCCCCACCCTCTGCCTTCTCCATCGCTGCCCCCACCCTCTGCCTTCTCCATCGCTGCCCCCACCCTCTGCCTTCTCCATCGCTGCCCCCTCCCTCTGGGGGGACAGAGCCTTCTCCATCGCTGCCCCCACCCTCTGCCTTCTCCATCGCTGCCCCCACCCTCTGCCTTCTCCATCGCTGCCCCCTCCCTCTGGGGGGACAGAGCCTTCTCCATCGCTGCCCCCTCCCTCTGGGGGGACAGGGCCTTCTCCATCGCTGCCCCAACCCTCTGCCTTCTCCATCGCTGCCCCCTCCCTCTGGGGGGACAGAGCCTTCTCCATCGCTGCCCCCTCCCTCTGGGGGGACAGGGCCTTCTCCATCGCTGCCCCCACCCTCTGCCTTCTCCATCGCTGCCCCCTCCCTCTGGGGGGACAGAGCCTTCTCCATCGCCGCCCCCTCCCTCTGGAACTCCCTTCCACAACACATCAGAGACTGCACTGACCCCCCCACTTTCAAAACACTGACCAAAACACATCTCTTCAGACTGGCTTCCATCG